CTCCACGTGGTGCACCCTGGGCAACGTATACTCATACGGCAAAAAAGTCTATTAACCGGCAGTTGACTTCAGACTCCAAACTACCATCACCCCACTGTATGTCAAATTCGACTACTTCAACCGTACTCACCTCACCTTTTTTCCAACTTTGTGTCTGTCTCTTTTACATCTTTGAAACACTCTTCTGTCCCCCCCCCCCATCTCGACCTTTTTCACTTTGATGTTCTTTCCCATTTGTGAAGCCTGAAGTCAACTAAAGGGCTAATGAAACTATCAAAACGCCTGCCATTTGATATAAATAAATAAATAAAATAGTTGTCATTATGGCATATTTATAGTTTTACTTGGCCTTTTCGACGCTCTATGTATTCATTATCAGATAATTACAGTGACATAATTTTAATTTGATTCGTAATCAATTTTATTCGCCACCATTATTGATACAATTCGTTTAATTAACACCATTCTTCGAAATCGGCAGTTGTCATATGCAAATCAATAAGGTTCCTACAATGGCTAGTAATTTTTCATTGTATAATCCACTTTTCTTAAATTTTAAATTAAAGAATATACTTATTTTTCACATATCATCAAACTTTTATTGAACACAAACACCGAATTATAAAGTCAACTTTTCGACCGGGTAATACATCAATATTTTACCACTTGATCTCAAACTAATTCTGCTTAATTTGAAAGCATTTTGGCGATTTTTCGCAACTTTTGTGCATCATAGATGAGAACAAATATTTATTTATTTCAAATGGCAGGCTTTATGATATTTATCATTAGCTCTTAATCTTTGACTTCAGCTTCCCCCAAGAGAGGGGGGGGGGGTACATTTATAGCAGTTAATTAATAGCAATTCATTAGCTGTCCTCTTGCTTCCCAGTATCTTTGGCTTTCCGTCCTTGTCTTTAGGGCTGGACACCGAATCAGGTGGGTCTTCTCCAATTCCTCCTGTAGGTTACACAGAGGGCATGTGGGTTGAGTGTATACTCCCAATCTGTGAAGGTGTTTTGCCAAGCAATCGTGTCCGGTACGTAGTCTAAACTCAGCAACGGCTTCGATTCTTGGCCAGTCGGGTACGTTGGAGANCCTCCACGTGGTGCACCCTGGGCAACGTTTATTCATACGGCAAAAAAGTCTATTGACTGGCAGTTGACTTCTCACTTCAAACTACCACTACCTCACTCTATGCCACATTCGACTATTTTCACAGTACTCTTCTTACCTTTTTTCTACCTTTGTGTTTGTCTCTTGCATCTTTGAAACACTCTTCTGCTCCCCCTACCCCTCTCAATTTTTTCAATTTGATGTTCCTTTCCCTCTGTACAGCCTGAAGTCAACTAAAGGGCTAATGATAACCATCAAGACGCCTGCCATTTGATATAAATAAATAAATAAATTTTCAAAAATTGTATTTTTTCTGCAATATTAGTATTGCAAATAATTGCATCTTACAATCGCCGTAAAAGCAAGTTAGTTAATTTGGTGCATTTTTAACGTCAACTTTGTCTTATATTCAGTTTCTTCAATTTACAATTAAGTGAATTAAATGAACACTGATGAATAAGCTCTGCAGAAAGATAGGAATCTGGGATGAGTAGTAACGTCTAGTGTATTTGTTAATTAAAAAATATCGGTGCCATGGATATTTCAAGTACAATATGACTTGTGATTAGAGAATACTGTAAATGGCAAGCAAACTACCCTTGATATCTGAACAAAAAAATACCCAGTAGAATGGAAATGATAGATGTAAAATCGCTCACCATTGGTCGACTATGATAGTAGAGTGATTTTATCATTAAGAATAGAACACCAAGAGAAGTAGTGCGAAGGTGTGGTTTGAAACTCATCAAAAGAACTCAAGCACTAAACTTTAGACTTCAATCTGGGGGTGCACGATAGACATACCTCCACATGGTGCACCCTGAGCAACATATACTCATACGGCAAAAAATGTCTACCATGACCCGACTGTATGTCATATTCCCCCACTTCCACAGTATCCACCTTACCTTTTTCTTCACGTTTGTGTCTGTCTCTCTTACATCTGTGTATCACTCTCCTGTTCCCTCTCTCGAAGGCACTACCGTGTCACTTGTCGAATAGGGAGCAAGTATGGAGCCATCTATTACATAGCAGACCCTCCATTGAGCTATTTTGACTAAGCTCCTTGTCAGTGAAACGAATACCAAACAAGCTTGCTCCACGCAATACGTCTGCTTCCTCTATACCTTTGAGGCAGCTCAGATGATAACTGAGCACAGGTCAAGGCTTGCTAGTTTGACTATCCGCCACTTAGAGAGAACAAATAGGCCTAAGTCTTCTATTTTGAATAACTAATTTAGGGGTTAGATTTTGATGATAATTCATTTTAAAGTAAAAAATAGCCAAAAATACGTTTGAGTAATCGTCTTGCTTGTGCTCTCTACTTCCTTCCAAATTTACTTCGAATTCTGTCCTGTTTCATGCTTTAATTTTTCTGTTTATCAATGCTAATTCTATTAATAAAAGAAGGTCTTGCAATAACAAAATAATGTATTTCTTCCATCTTAGTGGTTAATTATAAATGATGTCAAAGTTATCAGTGTCAATTATCTGTCTAGTTAGCTACAATATGCCAATAAGATGCCAATGCCATCTTAAGAGAATATTATCTATTGCGAACGATTTTACCATTGTTATTAATTCATATAACAATTTTTTGTTGTAAATAATTAAAGTATAAGGAATTTCCTTAACTTAATTGCATAATGGTATGACTTATGGGAAAGGAATGTTTAATACGTATTGAACGCATTTTAATTTCATCCGTTATGAAAGTTATAATTAGCCCCTTAGTTGACTTCAGGCTTCACAGAGGATAGGCAGCATCAAAGCGAAACAAGTCGAGAGGGAGAGGGGGAACAGAATTGAGTTTCAAAGATGTAAAAGAGACAGAGAAAGGGTAAGATGAGTACTATGAAAGTGGTCGAATATGACATACAATTGGGTGAGGGTAGTTTGAAATCAGCAGTCAACTGCCAATTAATAGACTTTTTTGCCGTATGAGTATACGTTGTCCAGGGTGCACCACGTGGAGGTAAGTCCATCGCACACCCCGTGTTCGAGAAATATCTGTTTACTATTCGGCTAAAATACCATGCAGATACTGGGGTATGTGACATTCTGAGTTCTATTTCTTTAAATGAATAAGTGTTAATTAAAGGGATACTATTTTTTAGAATTAATGATANGTGTTTTGCCAAGCAATCGTGTCCGGTACGTAGTCTAAACTCAGCAACGGCTTCGATTCTTGGCCAGTCGGGTACGTTGGAGAGTGCCACTGTTCATTGTTTCTCCTTTGTTCGAGCTTTAATTTCGTTGCACCTTGAGGTATGGAATTCTCTCCTGATTAAGGCCTTCATTGTGTGGAAAGACATCGGCCGATCCATGCATTGCAAAATCGTTGTCCTCTTCTTAGCAAGTGTGTCAGCAAGCTCATTGCCTTTAATGCCACAGTGACCAGGAATCCATTGTAGGATCACTGTTTTGTTTTTCTCTCTCAGCACCTGGTAGAGTTTTCTTCATGAGAACAAATATATACGATTGTGCAATAACAGGGTAGTAAAATATTACCCTTCTCTGAAATAGACAGTGAATAACTTTCGGGAAATTTTGTATTTTTTTCTTAGTTATGATTTTTCTTCAGCATCATTTATTTATAAAATAAGTAAGACTTTCTATATTTCAGATTTTGAACTTCTTTGCTTAGAAAAGATAATTACATGCCATTTTGTTCGAAATGAATGTAATTTAGCTAATATTGCAAATAAAAGTAAACTTTTGAATTTGTTTAGTAGAGGCATATGCATATTGATTTTTGAGCCCGCGAAGCGAACTTGGTTGGTGTTAGTCTTCGTTATATTTTTGGTTTCTAATTTCACTTTCGGTTTTGAATATATTGCGAATATGGTTTTATTTATTGACGTCTCGTTAGCGAAGTTCATTTGCGTATGTATTGTCGTTTCTGTTATTATGTATACATGCCAGGAAATATCCTTATTTCGTAGGAATGTTCAATATAGCAAAATATAGTCAGCTAATCAGTTTTGTTCTCTGTCACTCTTGTTTAGGTAGTATTTAGCTAATTGATTTGTATTTTTCGTCTCTTTTGACTCTAGGTTTACCATTTGCTTTCGAATTTTCCTTTATTCATTGGTTGTGCTTTATTATTAATTTAATGATCGTGTATGTGTTTTTTGTTTTCACAGGAATGGATGTTCGAATTCGTCTGCGTACCTGGTTGGAAAGCAGACTAAACGAAGGTTGGATTGATGGACTTTGTTGGATCGACCAGTCCAAGGGTATTTTTCGCATACCCTGGAAGCACCACAGCAAACACACCTGGACTGAGCAAGACGCTGCTATTTTCAAGGATTGGGCAGTTGTCACTGGGCGCTATCGTGAAGGTATCGATGAACCAGACTGGCCAATGTGGAAGACGCGCCTGCGTTGTGCACTTAACAAGGCGCCTGATATTCAGGAGGTAAAGCAGCGGCATAATTTGCATTGTGATGAACCATTCAAGGTTTATCGATTTATAAGCAAATCGGAGTCATTATGGCGTGCTAATGCTACTCGAAATGCCAGTATGATGTTTGATGGCGTCCCTGCTACCATGACATCTCTCCCTGGCACCTTTAACGTGCAAAACGTGATTCCTTCTAGGACTCCAAATACCCTGGTTTTGGGTGGAATTCAACACAAACGTCCTGCTATTCTTGTTGGTCGCGTCGCTTCTCTGGCTAAAAGTGCCGCCTCGCCTTATCCTTCTCATCCCGGACAACTGACTTTAATTCGCCGACATAATCAAATTTTCGTTAAAAAGCTTAGCTTGCGATCTCTGCAACCTTCATCATCTCATGGACAACCCATCACGAGAGTTCTTGGATCGCAAGAGGCATTAAATTCTGGACCATTTGATTCTCTTGATGTCGGAGCCTATCAGGATGTGCTCTCTTCAACTTCCCTCCAAAGCCCCACTAATTCTGTTACTCTCCTGCAGCCTACTGTTCTTCCACTCCTTCCTGATGTCATGGAGCCGGAGTTGCATCAACTTGGTGTGCGCATTCAACATCTGCATTATCGTCTTAAAGATGTGATTGTTACAAATCCCAATGGATGTTGTATTTACCATAATTGGTATGACGAACAGGGTCTATTCAAAACGCCTGATGGTACTCTCGATGCGTTCTCTATAACCAGTTCTCCTGACCCGATAGAAGTGATGATGACACACGATGTTGCTGACGAACATCGTCCTTATGTTACAATGCTGCTCGACAATATGGTTCAAGGTGTGATTATTACAGCCGATTCTAGTACTGGAGATTTATACATGAGGCGTCTTTGTCGGTGTGCTGCCTTTATCTATTATTTGGATGAGTCTTCTGGTGAGCATGTCATGATAGCTAAGGTAGCCAGGCGAGATTGTTTCAAGATGTTCGACTATCAACAATTCATGACTCAACTGGAATACTACCGCCTGGGCCAGGGTCCTAAACCACACTTCGAGGTTATAATTTCCTTCGGTCAACAAATCAAAGATGAACTCTCTTCTAGGAATCTTCTTGTGTGGTGTCGAGTCGCTAGCTGCAAAGCGTGGTTTCAATATCAAAAGGTTTGTTTTTGTGTGTGCGCCTGTGTGTGTGTGGGTGTGTGTGCTCGCACGTTAATTTTGTTTTTTATGTTTAAGGTTACTTCTTCTTTGAGAACGCCTCAACAGACTATTATCTATCCTCAGTCCCTCTCGTCATATGGTTCTCATCTATCACAACAGCACGGAATGCTTGGTGATGTTCAGCAATCAATAGGATCGGGAGACGATGTTGATATTTGTGCATCTGATGCTGTTGGCGCAGAGGTGTCCCTCTTTTCCCCTTCTGTTGTTAACAAAATGGATTCAACAGTAGTGGAAGAAGAGGTAGTTGTTTCAACTTCGATCGGAGATGATGCCGTTCAAGATGTTCATGACGAAGTTATCACCGAAACAATTGGTGAAGTCGAAATATCACAAGATGAAGGTCTTTTGAATGATCTCGATTAATAACTTACCACTCTCTCCATGTACATAGCCATAATACTGTCAATATTTTTCTTTCTGTGTCTGTCATAAGATTATGCATATTTTGAATGTTTTCTTTAATGCATTTTTAATGTAGTCGTGATAGACTTTCTTTATTGCCGTTATTGTGGTTTCTGGTCTTTGATTAGCTTTGATTTCTCCCTTTTTCCCAAGTATTTTTGTTGTTATTCAATATTTAGCACGGGATGGCTAAATTTTTGGGGTTAGTCCTACTGGTGATAGGTGAGGAATTGCTAACCTGCAGGTAGTATGGATTGTATTGTTGGTGTCAGAAGGGTCAAATCTGATGTAATTGGGCGCTTACTCGTCTTGGTGTTTTTATTTTTTTAATATTTAATTTCCGTTGCTTGCTAGTAGGTTAAAAGTGTTTCAAGTATCTTCAGTTGGGGCAGCTCAAAAGATTTGTTCCTATTAGGTTCATTTTGCTTGGGCCTAGAGTTTCCGTAAGTTACGTTTTCGTAATTACTAATCATGCCCTAGAGGGCGTTAGGTCTATACACAAGCGTCAAAAAAAACCATTTTTTATCGACGGATATTTCTTCGGTTTCAACTTATGAATCAATCAATTATATAAATGAGCCGCCAATCAATGCATCAAAATCGATTGTGCCGAGCCAAGTTTTAATTCTCGTTAACTGTGGCTGAGTTTATGTAGAAGGCCCTAGATTAATGCTTACGTGAATATTGTGAGTTTAGACATCTGGATAGCTAGAATTTGCACCAACTAGGATATTAATTAATGTTTGTAACGTACGTTCAATCATACTTTGAATTCATCTTACACTCATATCGAGTAATCTCTTCTCGTTTTATCCATTCTTACTAACCCATTTGGCCTAGCCTCTACTCTAGGAGGATAAAAGTGAATCGAGGGGTAGTGATAAACAACGGATTTAGCTCATCTCTAAACAAACGGAACATCTTAATACTCTCGTCTATGAATCTGTGAGCTGATCTATAAAATGTGAACGTTAGGACAGCATTCAGTAAACTATCTTCATATGAATTCGACAATTTTATTTCTTCCATACTTCGAAAAAAGACTTGATTAAAAAACTTATCCACACAACATCTCTCGATGTGCACATTCTTGGCCACGCATGCTATTCTCCTTTTTTGTAACTTGATGGCATGACGTGTGATAGTACTGCACACATAAAATGAAGTTATAATGGAAAGGCATCATTTCTAAACCTTCACCAGAACAGAGAAAGTTAACACATTTGAAATTTTTTATCTTTCCTAATAATCAGAACAAAGAAGATCTGAAGCGACTGAAAATTAAAAGGCATTGAATAATTTTCTCGAAATATGTCCATTAAATGTACATGCCCATAGTCAAACCATTTATTTTAAAGATAAAAAATCTACAAAAGCTAGGGATGGGAATTTTATAGAGAACCATCTCTAAACCAGTCTTTTGGAAAGAAGGGTAAAAATTGGGTAAATTCCTGGGCACTATCGGCCTGCGTCTGACGTACATTCTGAAGAAAATCCAATGGACTTGGTTGTCCTGGGTAAAAGGGAAGAGTGGTCATTTCCCTCAAATTACACTCCCGCCGTTTTCGTGCGCGCCGATTTTGGAACCAGATCTTTACCTACCAGTGCAAAACACACTTAAATTAGATTTGATATTTTACTCAATAGCATTATGAATGAGTATTAACTCGGAGGTACATAGAATATTAAAGACAAGAATATTACTATCCTATTTTGACCAACTATTGCTCTGATTTGCTATCAGAAAAATGTACCACTCTCGGCAAGTATCAAAAAAAGACAATGAAACACGGTGGCGATTATGACATATTTTGAAATGATTTAGAATTTTCCGTTTGGAAAAATAGGATTCTCATTCGTTCTGAATACTTTGCCACAAATCCACTTATTAATTTCTCATTAGAGCTGTGAGTTCCAATGATATCGCAATATCTCATTTAACTGAGGAGGGTGGCTGTTAATTAATTCTTCTTTTTACGAATCAGGTTTGTGCAGTAAAGCCGACGGAAAGAGCACACACCTTTTCGTGAGTTTTCACTAGCTTTCATTCGTTCATCTTTTGATTCAAGTGAAATATGCTATTAATTTAGCTAACTATAGATTTGAGTCCTACCTGACAACGTCATCAAATGGTCTTTACACCGATTTAAGGGCACACAGTTGCAGTGCTGATCTGCAATCGTGTTTAATTCCAAAAACTGATTTTTGAGCTTTATATTTTGATTGTTTGAAGAGCTGGAAATCTTTACCATGCTCAAGCTTACTTATTACATCCACATTCATATTCATCGTAAACAAAATGACCTTTGACCTATGTATAATCGCTGTGCCAAAGCTTACTCTAACCTGAACTGACCAATAAGGCCATTTTTATGGTGATCTAAACACATAAGTAAAAGAAGTAAAACAAAGCAATCCGCTACAGACTGGTTGGGGAGCGAATTCAGGATGCCAGCTTTTAGAAGAACTTATCGGTGATATCTGTAATTGAATACACTTCAATTTGTGAAGTCTCATGTTGTCTACAATGGATGAATACATGACAAAGTAGTCTTTGAATAACAATTTAATTTTTTGATTGCTGATTATAATACCATTGGAGGCAGCACTGCTACTCAAGATCGGCGGTTAACGATTTACGTTTTCTATAACTAAGACGTTCCACATTCGAATGTTATCTTCAGAGGTAACATAATATCCCAAGCAATTCTCTTCAAAAGGTTTATGAAGAGCAGCAACATATATTTTCAAGCTAAGAGGCCAATAAGTAAAAATTCATAGCCCACTAGACGAATTCACTCCAACAGCTTTTACCAAAAACAGTCCAATATGTTCTCTTTTTATTTGCGGGCCAATCTTATTTCAACACATTTCCTTATGCATTGTTTGTAGTGAAAATGTTCACAGATAAATAAGTGAATTAAAATTTATCATCTTACTCTGCTTTCGGCGATTTGAAGTTCTCTCGCGACTTCTGTCACTTCTCCGCCGGAGAGGTAGTTAGTTTGGCTGAATATTGCCTCCAGTCTTTCCACTTGGGTACGTGTGAATGGCACTCGAGAATTTCGAATCCTCACACGGAGCATACCCGGGATTTCTTCCTTTTGATTCTCCGTTTCCTCCATTAAGTCTGCCAAGGATGATTTAATTCATCAAAGTAAATTGCATAAAAGTACACACTCCAGTATGGTAATTAGAAAAAATGTTAACTTCGGTACAGGTCGGCCCTTATAATTACGAGTATGAACTCCGTTCTGTTAGTACTCTATATTATACGTACCGCACATGTTTGCCTTTATCGATTCCTGGGTGGAATTCGTCAGCTCTTAGATATCTACTCAAGTATTTAAAATGTCTGAGAGTTGAAACATCAAAGCAACTGATAGAGAATAAAAAGTGGATAGGATATTTTCATAAAAAATGGAATTCTTACTTTGGAGTAATACTGCCTTGTCCGGATCGCCATGTGGAGTTGTGAATTGGGAAGGTGAATTGATATGAGGGAATGAATTGGCTACATCAGAAATATTGTTCTCCGTAGCTTCATTAGTGTCTGGTGTCAGGCCATTATCCATTTGTTTGCCATCGGATGACTTCAAAATATTACTAATCGAAAAGGGGCTTTGATTGGGCATCACAATAAAATCCATGCGTATTTGTGATAACCACACACGTTACCGACGCCTAAAAAGGAACGAACTGTCCAATAGGATGTGAGAGCCAATGGCAATGACTCAAATTTGGCTACATGATAAATAGTTAATTTCCCGGTCGACCAGCAACACTTATTCCAAAGTAGTTAAACTTATAAATGTTGAACGGGTTATGACAAGTTCACTTCCCTTTGTCAGTAATTTACGGTTTCTAATTGTCTCTATAATTTACCCTGATCATTCAAAACTTCCCGTACTCATTATGTGACACTTGATTTCAATAGAGGGACGATCCCATTGATTCGCTCTTGTGAAAATCCTGCATTCTATTTTACCTTTTTAACCATAATTGGCCAATGTTTCCTTCATTTTAACCAAATATATACTTAGATGAAGAATGGTGTTAAGACTATACCACCTCTTTTATCACAGCGAGCTAAGTTAGACGTGGTGAGAGGAGTTGGTAAATCCGACCACAAGACATCTGCTCAAATGAGGTGTCCGTTTCACACTTTGTTGTCTACGAGAGGGGGGATGCTGAAAATCCGGGGAGGTGCCCCAATATCTGAGTGTACGTGATGAGCTCCTCATTTATTATTTAACAGGCAAACTGGATTCTGATCTCCCATGCCATGGAAACTAGATATATTTTGGAGATTACATCCACCGCCTCAGTGAACAATTAATAACAGCCAACGACCACACTGCACCCCTTCTCCACAGCTGGTTTTACAATCTTGAATTGATTAATCAGTGGAAAATCAAGGAATCACAATCCCACGTACGTTATGCGTGCATTAGTAAGAGATATCCGGGCAAATATCTAGAAAGGCATATTAATAAAATAAACTTAAAGAGCGAACCTGACTTGTCCTGAAATAAGTAATTGACAAATGACGAAAGTTAATAATTTAACTCCACTAAAGCTCAGGAATGTTTAATTCAGAGTAAGGTTCATTTAAGTGAAAGCATCTTTTACTTCAAATAATACCAACTTTTTCACAGGATGGAGAGTCGCTTGGACCACTAAATGTAGCAAGTGACAATTTATTCAACAAAAATCCGTTGGAGTGCATTTTTATTAGATTAATTTTTTTGTGAGGTTGAGAGAACTGACTTTGATTCAACTTGAGTGCATACAGCTGTGGTTAGACTCCAAGCTGCTGAAATTCATGTAAGATTTCATTGGCCTTCCAAGCACTGGAAGAGGAAATGAAATGACGAGACCGGCTCAATTCCAAAACTCAAATGAAGTTAGATTCTTTACTACATTCGCGATGTTCTACGAGAACTTTCCGATCCTTCTTCTTTTACCACTTATTGGACTTTCTGTTGACCGATTGCAGTCATTTCCCACAGTTAAAGAGAGCAAAGTTATTCATTGGTATAAGTGCAACAACTATTATTTTGTAGTTCAAGCCAATGCAGCACTCCATCAATGTACTGCAATAGAGTTATTTTGAATCTAAAGTATACATCGACTATCAAGGTAACAAAGATAGTATATATGCTCGAAAACTCGCTGACTAAATGAGTTGCGCCACTTTCTTAACAAATGGGACTTCCACATAGTTGATCAGTTATCAAATTGCTTAAATCAATTGAGTCCACTAGGAAACCATAAAATGGTTGATTGGTTTCTACCAATAATTAAGTTCATGTCCCGGCCGCAGCTACAGCAAGGAGGTCAAACCTACAAAGCAATTGCCTAAGTTTATGTCGAGAGAGCACATACAACACCTGCGTAGTTACAAATTTTCTCTGTGTTGGGTCAAATAAATAAAATTCCAGACAAATCAATATTGTGATCAAACTAATTTATAAGATACATAGTTGTAACTGCTTCTGAAGAAAGAAAGTCCCCCTTCAGTTTAGTTAAGGTGCTGGGGAACTGTTTGATGGAAGAGGACTATTTGAGAATGGTTTTAAGGACGCTTTGAGTCTGCATATTTTTAACCTCTCCTCTTCTACTGACGTAAATTTTTCAAACGAATTTCCTCCTGAACAACAAGGAACGCGTTTCGAGAATCAAAGCGATTTAAAATTCTGAATTAGTATTTAAAGCATCACTTGTAATCCAATCATCTCAAACTTGATTTACCGCATTTCGACTAATTTTTAGTTCGATAATGGTTGCACATAAATCCAATTGTTATTAACCTAATACAACCTGAATTTGACCCTTAACTTATCATGAAATCACTCCAGTCGACCGAACTTATAGGTTCGACTCAAATATTGCCAAAACTACATTAAGGAAAAACGGGACGTCCATTAATGTTTAAACTTAAATCCATAGCATAGCAAAACGAATTGAAGGGGGAGGGTGGGGGGGGGGGGGGTTGTGAGCGGGTATACTTCAACTGCAGTGTTCATTCCTGTATTACTCGAGAAAGCTTTGACCTAGTAATTAAAGGTAACCAACTTACCAGAAGTTCAAATCCCGATTTGTAATATTCGACGCTATCTTTCCGCTAGATCTTAAGGAAATTGTCTGTACAAGAAATATTGAACTAATAGCGGCCAGGCCATACAAGAGGAAATAGAAATCGAATGAGACTTACAAATTTGAAATACAAGGGAGAATTTAAAATGCTTAAAAATTGAAAAATAAGTTCAATTGAAAGATATATTTGATGTAATAAGCAAAATTGAGTAGGATTGCAGAAGCTTCTACATCAAATCGAAATACTTGGCGCAGTAAATACTTGAGATGTCAGTTTCCAGTCGCTTTCAATCATCATGTAATTACAATTGAAGCCAAGCTCCCTCTTGCTCAAATTGTCAAAGTGATTCAACTGACAGCCTTGTGACCTGCTAGCAATCAATAATAACAGTTACTCGCATTTTGTTAGTAGCATCATCAGCGAAAGTTAAAAGCGATCCCTGGTACTTAACGCTATTTCCGTTTTGGAAATGCGGAAAGTTCAACATGAGACAACCCGCAAGAGCAAGAAATTGTGATTCATGGGAGTGATGGATCGAACGAGAAACCCATTTAGCTGCAATTTAAATCTTCCATGTGGAAGCAAGAAGATGGATCGTTAACCACAGCCATCAGTCCTATTGGAGATCGATATAAGTTTCGAGTTTTGGCCTAAAAAGGAAAGACAAGTTTCCTGTATTTTGAAAGTAGGAAATTTGAAACCAATCATCTTGCCATTACAAGGAAAAAGCATTACTTTAAATGAAAAAAGGAAAGAATAGCATAATAATAAACATGTTTCCTTATCAGTTTAATACTCAACGTAACGACAATTGTACCATTCATCTGGTTAAAAGTTTTGCTCTGTGAGTTTTGTGAAAAAACACAGGAGTCATAGAAATAAAAGCGGAAGCAAAAATGAAAAGTAAGCGAACAGAATTTTTACCTGCAATAATTATTTTGGGTTGGGAAATAGACCATGAAAGTGAACAGCATAGAAAGAGTGAGGAGGCACAATATTACAACAAATAAACAGGAAGATCTCAAGGCAATAGACAACAAATTCAACAAATGGAAACGAATGATCACCCACCTAAGGAACCGTAAAGGACTTTCAGAATGCAGGACTGGATTCAGTTGTCTGGACTATACAGTCAGGATGAAAAGGATATTCGGGGTATCCATGATCCATTTTACTAATATGAAAGTGAGTGGCACTGACTTCTAAAGAGTATTAATGCTGGAGGCCAAGAATTGGAATTGATAGCAACAGAGTGGAAGCACCAATTACTATTATACTTCGCCGTTAAAATGAGATCTCTCATTATTCTGACACGAATGGCAATCGCTTGAATGAAAATATCGCAGGGCAATTCTATGCAATGTGATTAGGCTATGCTAGCGACCATACCGACCAATAGGTGGACTCCAGAACAGCAAACACCGTCGCCTACACATTAATGAACCAATAGCAATGCAGCAAGCCAACGAAAAAGTAACATATTTACTTATTCCATTTCACTAGGTGAGCTGATGGCAGGATCAGCGTGGCCTCCCTTCTAATAACTCTTGTAATTTTCTCCCGATTCCAATGGATCCATAATGTTACAAGTACTTCTACCCGACGTTGCAGTTAAAGTCCACCAACGGCTATTTCGGATGCATTGAGCTTTCGCGAATGTGAAAATTCACTGCATAACACTTACTTAAACATAATGAAAACAGTGTTTATAGATTAATAAAATTAAATATATAATAAAGAGGGCAATTAAGATAAGAAGAATTTGACTAATGTGCTTCCACATTCTCATAGGTAGCGTGTAGTTACTTTGAGTACATTGTGATGCGTAAACCCACTGTACGAAGGCCGACAAAAGTTACCTAAACGAAAGAAGTTTGATGAAACTGCGTGAACAATTAAAGGAGTACGCAATGTGAAAAGACGAAAGGGAGAAGAGGAAAGGTGAGCAGTTGTGGAGGAGGAGATGAATCAGCAACATCTTGTTTCTCAAGATACCCATGCAGGTACTGCTAGACCCCCCAGATGAAGCTTAACTTCGGTAATCTTGCCGATCACAATTTTTCAAAGTGAAAATACAATTATAAATAGTTACTAAAAATTTTCACTGAAGAAGTTAATATCTTCTACTTTCTTCTAGATATGCTTGAAAGTCATCTTTATTTCTCATTTTGTTTATAAGAACAAATATGAATGAAGCTATGTTGGACCCAGCTCTGATTGTTCTGAAAAAGCAAGAACTTTTGTTCATTGTATTTCTGGTTTGGATAAGGGCTTTTAGAACGAAAATAATGCTCACCCTCAATCCATCTTCCTATTTCACCTCTTTCTCCACTCCACACCTGGCCAACACCAAGGGTGAGAAGATGAATCAGGGCCCACGAACCCTAGTGTCCTGCTGTAGTCGCCTATGGTACTGAGTTGCGATTACTAGTATAATGTATGTGCGAGGTGCGTCGTCCATCGGATTGTCGTAATTGGGTGGGTGCGCAGGTCCGGGAAGACATTAAGCAGAGATTGCTGAGTCTCTTGATGCAT